ATTCATATAGAAAATTTCAAGTCATTAGAAATAGTATTTGACTAAATTTTTTTTATTGTTCAATTTTATTGAAAATAATTGTTTTAAGTAATTTAGTAAAACGAAAAAGTAATAATATTTCAGAATTTGTGCTTAATTTCAATAAGTGTGTAAATATTTTTATAATATGGAAACAAAGAACGGCTATCGATGTACAATAGTGTTTTCAATAATCTATTCTATTTGGCTACATATGTCATTTTTAATTTCTTTCAAGTGTAATTCATACATTAAAAAGCGGTATTTTTACTGAAAACCCGGTAATCGAATTCTTTCATTTACTTAAAAAAATAAAAACCGACAGACCCCCATTCTTATTCTAATAAAATATAAATTTATTACATGACTACGCCAAATTCTCCAATGGTTAAAACTTGGTTGTCTCAATATGTTTGTCATATAATTGAATAAACAACCTAATTTCATTAAGCTTTATATGTCAGATACCTCTTAGTCATTTTGCTGAAATCATTTATCACGCCGTAAACCTCTTTCGCCTACATACCTGTCTCTACTACCTGTAAAAAACCAACCCGATTTACATACACTCAATGGAGTAATGACGAGCAAGAAGAATGTTAAACACCTCATAACTATCAGCGTAATTTTTCCTCATTTCCTTTCTCCATCGCTTTCACTCTCATCCGAGCTTTTCGTTCTCAGATGCTTTGCACTTATTACTCGCGAAAGCTCTCATCGCGAATGAGCTTTAAATTCTTAAAGTTGAACTTTCGTTTTTTACGCGGCCGACGGCGTGCGATGCTATGCGATTCACTAAACTTAGGGCTGGTAGATTTATAAAGTTTATTTGTAATTTTTATTCGAAATTATAACATATTTTTTGTTAAAAAATTCTGAGCAAATATATTTGAATACATATTCAATGTCTAGGATTTTTTTACAATTAATTTTTACTTTCTAGAAAACTTTTGAGACATGAAATCTTATTAAAAACAGTTTGTATCATAATTTGTTGTATTTACATATAAGGTAGAGCGGCGTTAAAAGGTCTTAGTCAGCAAGGCCATTATCTCAAAAACAAGTAAAGTGTCGATTTTTTAACAGTGCTACTTTAAAGTACGGAAAAAAAGAATCGAGCAATTGCAATCAGGAGATAATCGGCCACATTGTCAAATTGTGTCAAAAACAAAGTTTCTTGGTTTACAATACCTGAATATATTTTTTCAATATACGTTATTTTATTTCTTTATAAGACGTATTGTTATTTTTAAGGTATACTCAACAGTTTTTAATATAAACACTAGAATATTTTGCATGCAGTTGGGGTAAAAAGGACCATCTAACCTTTTAACCCGTCGAAGTGTAAACAATAAGAAAATAATAAATAAATGTGTAAAATATGTTTATAAAAGCAATTATAGAAGACATAAATAAAATTAACAGTTTTTCCAACTCTGATGTTGTATTCTTCTAAGTTTTATACGAAAGTTGTATCCAATGCGATCTTTATAGAAAATATACTCATAAAATGGGGGGGGGGGGGTAAATGGAAATTTCAAACATAAGTTGTGTTACCTATGTAATACCTCATTTGTAATCAAGAAACATTGATTCTGTTCATAATAAATTAAACAGAAATAACTACCAAAGTAATAAAAGTTAATAAAATATTATGTCTATTATGTTTGAAAAGCTTATTTAGATTATGATCTACAATGATGGATTGGCTGGGAGTTTTACTGAACATAGTCAGATAGTTGTTTGTTGGATGTGTGTTAATATTGGTTTGGTTTTCACAAAAGAATTGCTCAAAATCAAAATTGATTTTTAGGTTTAATATGTTAAAGCTTTACCTTAAGTAAAGAATATTATAAGAACATTCTTGGTTTCGAGGGAAAAAAATTGTCATGTCGCATATAGCAGTTCAAATTACTTCCAACATTGCAACCAAATTTTTATACAATAAAACTAAATAGCATCACTCGTAATTCTAATCCATTCAATAAATTCATTATTTATTATTCATTAGCCCTAAGTCTAAATTCCTCGTGGTACGAGTTCAATGTTTTGGTTCGGAAAAACGAGGGAAAATGAGTTTTCTTTACGTCTGTACTACCTACTACGAGTGCAAAGCGAGTACGCGGAATTAATTATGACGTCGGAAAAACGGCGCCCTTGATATCTTCTCAAAGTAGCTGTGTTATTTTTATTTTTATTTGGCTTTGTGTGTGTTCGCAGATTCGCTTATTATTATTCAACGCGAGTTAAATCAAATGAGGAGCTTTTTGCGAATTTTATTGAATACGGCTGTTTTTATTCGGGAATGTTTTATTTATTTAATTTAGGGATGTAAATGATCTTTTAGGAGGATATATAGTATATACATTACTTAAGCCTTATTAATTAAGGTTAACTAGGTAACGTTTTTTATGCTCTCTATATTCTAAATATATATATATACCTTTGCTAATTAGTTTTATTTTTCTCCTTACTATATTTAACTTTTTTTCTTCTAAGCTATGTAGATTAATCAAATGGCAATAAGGGATAATATTTTAATAAGTATGTAATTTATTGTGTCTAATAATAAAATGTAAAGAATCATAATTTCCCAAGCAGGTGATTAAATTTATTTCCAGCTTGTATGTGGCAGGTATATACATACTCATGACAGGAACAAATAATGCGATAAAAAACAGATAACATTAATTGCTTAACGACCGCCATATGATTCATACAACTTTATTTATATTTCACACTTTTATACAAAGATATATTGTGTATCGGTTAATTAAATTAATTCATAATTGATACTTCAAATACTAGATAAACAACAAATGTTTGTTTTGATTGTCGTGCATTTTTAAATATTTTTTGTTAGATTAGAACAATTTGAAGTGCAAATTTCCTTCATTAATGTGCGCACGTTTTAACTTATCTTATAACGCATTGTGTTACGACATAATTATGAATTATGTTTGTGAATTCTATTTTTTTCTTGATTTTATTGTAGAAACCATTTTTAATACTATCGTGTTTAATTTTTCCTATATTTTCGGGGATGTTGAAGGATCTAAATTTCGGTTTTGTTGCGTGTCGGTCATTATAACAGGACACAATTTTTTAAAAATGGGTCATAATAGATGATAGAAAAGGTAGTCATTTTATCCGTTTTTTATAACATATTTTATATGAAAACTAAGGTTAGAGTGTATTTACGCCATAATAAACGGTTGGTCAATATATGCGGAGTTATGCTAAATAGATTATACTGGATGTAGGATAAGGCGGAGCACAAAGGTCCAATTTGACGAAAAAAACAATTACATCAAATTACATCAAATTACATCACAACGAATACTAATTCCAGCTAATTTACAACAATATTTTTAGCATTTTTATAAAAATTAGTTTTTTGTTTCTTTTTATTCCATAGACGGGGTGAAAAACGACAAATTTGTTTTTATTATTTTAACCGTTTTTAATGTTTTATAGAATAACTCCTAATAGAATGCGATACAGTACAATTATTAAGTTAAACAACAAAATTTTAAATCATAGCTTAAATATGTGTTATTAAACATAAAAAACAGAACTTTTTATCATTGTTTCTTGAAATACAATCATTACAAATGAAATGAATGCAACTTCGGTTTGAAATAACTATTTCAGGTGCACATTTTTATTAAGATCGCAGTGCATTCAACTTTCGTATGAAACTTTGAAATTGACTTGGAATACAGTAGAACTCCAATTATCCGAATTAATGGGGACCGGGACCTATTCGGTGATCAAATATTCGGATAATCGGAGTTTGTTTTAAAAAAATTGCCATTGGAGAGAAAAAAAGTTACGCTTTGATATTGCACTATTTTTTTATTGAATTAAATGAAATAAACATGATATTTTCACATGTTTTAAATAATAAATAAAATAAAATAAATGTTTTAAATAATATATAGAAGCCTACACTGGCTTCGCGGGTGGAAGAATAATAGCGCACTTAGAATTTTTTTGGACAATTTTTTTTCTGAAAGTGATTCGGATGGATAATCGGCGATTCGGATAGTCGGAGTTCGGATAATTGGAGTTCTACTGTAATTACTAATTTGTGAAATTGCTTTTTAAACTTATTTCATATTTTTAGTTACTGTTTTATTATTGTTTATACCGTGGGAGTGTATAGGTTTAGGTATTCCTTTTCACTATTTTATATACAACCAATCTTATATCGACATTTAAATAATTTCCAATAATCAGTAAAATGATTAAAATAGATAAAAAATAACTGTATCTTCCATATCATCGGTCAAACTCTAACTATTTAAATCTATTTCCACTTCAAATGTTCAACCCTTAATTTTTTCGACTCAACCCCATCGGTCAAGTACAGTAGTGTCCCACTCGCCGATACGTAGCCCATGTCCATCGGCACACTATTGGCCGATTCAGCCAGAACGGCGGCCCAATCGTGCTGTCCGGTTCAGGCTGACCTTATCTTAAACCCGCACACAGCCGTAGAGCGCCCGAGCTAAGTCGTAGCGTTCGGCACAAGAAGTTTGGGGTAGTAGGGCTACACATGAAACACACACGTGCGCAGGACACCGTTAGACGGGGACCGATATATGACAGAGAGAGGTGTATATCTCTGTCTTGTTTCGGCACACGGTATAGTACGAGTACGACCCTTGGCTAATGTCGAGCGATGCCGAGAGCCGGTGCGGAAACAGCCGAGCGCGCTAACCGAAGAGAGGGACAGCGGACCTAGAACCGCTGTCCACTGGGCAAGTATCGTCATATGCGGACGACCGCTAAGGGTGATCGCACGATTCACATGCGCTCCGCATAAGTAAATCATAATTAATCACAGGATAGTGTTTTTATCAAAATGTTGTTTGTGAGTGATTTATCATCATCAGTGACAATAACAGACTGACATATTATGTTTGTGTCGTAATTTTAGTGTAGTAATTTTAAAAAACTTTAGTTTCACGCGAACTGTTTATAATAATTTAAGTGTGTAGTGTGTTAATTACTAACAGCCGTCAAAATGAGGATCAAAATGCCGGCAGTTAGGATCGCTCAAGGTGAGTCCTTTACCACGTTACTTTCCTAATACATATTCCTCGTGTCTTTAATTAATCCACCCCCAGAAGGGGGTGATGATTTTTCTCCTGCGCGATATGAAAAACAGCGAGTTTGCGTTTCGGAAAACAGCGCATGCAAAAATGAATCTAAGTGGGGGCGTACGGTTCGCGCGATCTCGCTAATAAAGAAAAATAAATTAAAAAGTGCCAGAAGAATCAAGCTCTCGCTAGTAAAGATACGCGAAAGCTCACGATAGGAGCTTTAAAGTTTTTAATGAAAAGTTTTGGTCGTTTGATATTATGATAGTTGGAAAATTTGAGTGGATATAGTTTTTAGATGGATGTGACAGATTTCTTCTTAATTTATAGAATGTTCTAATATAGCAAATATTATTATCACTTGTGTAAGTTAATTCAATGCTGTGTTATTTTATTTGATTTTAAAACAACATATACTTAAAAATAAAGTTATTAAAAAATTTGAGTGTATTGCTTTTTACTTGAATTTTTACGTGAGTGTGACAGATTATTTGTTAATTTTTGCAATTTAATATAAAATATCTTTTATATTCACTCGTGGTTCAATATACCAAATATTATTATTACTTGTGGCACTAGCTAATTTATTGCTGTGTTTAATGTAAAAACAGTAAATATTTAAAAATAACACATTATAAATTTATTTATAAAAAAAATGAATGAATTACTCTTCATATAGACGTGACAGATTTCTTCTTAATTTTTGTAATTTATTTTTTTATTCTATTCACTAACAGATATCATTTTTACTTATGATAGTATTAAATTTAATACAGTGTAAATTTATTTGATGTAAAAAATGACGTATACTTAAAAATAAATTTATATCTCATAAAAAGGGATATTAAATATTTCACTATATATAAAATAAAATTTAATCAAAGTGCTATAAAACTTGCCTAACAGTGATTTGTCCCACATGTAATAAAATTGTGATATTAACTTTAACTTGTATTAATTTAAGTACATATAAAATATAAAAAACTGATTGATTCGAATGAGTAACATAGAATAAATAAATTTAATACTTTAGTATTATCAATAGGTTTTTACATTAAAATAAACCATAAGTTTTATAAACCCGCACATATTATTTATTATGGTGATCTATTAAATAAGTGAAATTAAAATACATTTATAATTGTTTAACTTCTATAAAAAAAATAACATATTGTTATTAAAATATTTAAATTAAAATTTTCATATATCTTCTAAATCATAATTTATTTTTAAAATAATAAAGATTTATTTATCACCCGCACAAATTATTCATTATGATCATCTATTGCTCGAATAAGAAGTATATTTATTATTGTTTAATTTCTACAAATTAAAATAAAATTTCAATAATTAAGAACTAATATTTAAATTGAAGTTTTTTCAATGATCATCAAAATCAAAATTTATTTTTAGGCGGATAAATAGAGTGATGAATTTTGAAACATAATTATGGTGATTAGTATAATACCTCCCTCTTTCTTAAAAAAACTGTATTAAATATTTACTTTATTGAACTTTGAATACACAACAAAGAAATTTATTTTAAACGTTTTATACATTTTTTCTTGCTTAAACTTTTTTGATGTAATGTGTGGACTTTCAAAATTTATCAAAGTTTAAATTAATTTTTAATATCTGATTTCATTAAATTAAACTACTTATTATAGAAAGCTTCGTTTGATGTGAAAAATATACAACTAAAACTTAATATTTTACTGATAATTTTGTGCGTAATTGATATTTTAATTGCATTTCCAGGAATAACATCTTTAATAAAAAAATATGAAAATATATTTTGATATAAATGTTTATGTTAAATTAAGAGTAAATCGTTAAATATAGAGTAAATTTCAAATTTTTACGAAATTTCTTTTTCTTTGTTGTATTAATGTTTAAACCAAAAATTTATAAATGAAATTGACAATTTATTTTTTATCTACATTTTTTTACAAATTTATTTTATTTATATGCATATAAAATAAACTAACCATATATGCTATGTATAATATTGAGAAAACCGTCGGCGACTGCTCCGCGCAATGTTTGTCCCATGTTCAGCTTTTCGCATTGAGTCAACTGCTAACAAAACAACTTACGTACTCCCAAAATATATAATTTGATAGGGATGCTGGGTCCCGTCACTATTTTAGTTCAGAGTTCGAAATAACGGTCCTCTGGCAGTTGTTCACTACCATATCATTATGAGCTCAATTATAGTATGTGCTATAGAACTTTAAATGTAAGATACAGATCGACATTCACTAAAACTGGTACGAAAAAATGTATTTAAAAGCTCATGCATGGTTAAAAATATATTTAATTGTGTATCATAAAACGTGCTATCATCTTATAATAATCGATATAAATAATCGATAATTTATTTTTTGCTTATAAATGTATTACATTACTACTGCAACTTTTTAATATAGTATGGTGATCTTTAAATTGACCATTTTCTTTTATATTTTTTGTTATGAGTCATTTTCCAATATATCATATCTATCCAGGATAATTTTTACTCTGTCACATACTTAATGAAATTAGTTTGCAAAATTCAGCGTAAATCATATCGGAATACTTTATTTATAGAACAATTAGAACTTACCTCACGCGTGCAATATAGATAAGATAAATGTGTCGTATGTTTAGACATATTTGCCGCAGTTTGCAATTTTTAAGGAAACAGAAAATTTGCTAATAGACAAAAGTTAAAATTAGTTTTTATTTATACAATTTTTTTTGGTTAATTTATTGCTAATCCATAGTCGGAAATTTGTAACAATCTATTGGAATTGTGATACTGTGATTTTTTTTCAATATATGTTTATTTAAAACTTGTAAATTGTTACTTAGGTATTGTAATTATGTAGTCAATTTTATATTCTTTAATTGTTGTTTGCTATTTTGGAATTAATTTTGTGTTTATGCAGGCGTTTTCCGAGGTTTTGGCTTTTTTCGCCTATATAACTGAGTTCGCAATCTGAGCATTTTATCTGATAAACTAGGTTTCTTAGGCGTTCTGAGTAAAATTTTCAAAAATGGAGTTATTATGTATATATATATGTATATATATATATATATATATATATATATATATAATATTATTCATTATATCATTCCAAATATTATAAAACTTCTTGATTTCTCATAGAAATTAAAATTCTGATCCAAAACTAATCAAATCTGTACAGATTCATATCATCCTCTAACTTTACTATCTCGGTTCCCTTCAACCCATATCACCCTTTGCACAGGGTCTTCAAACCCAAAAAAAGTTCTTAAAAAAGTGGACCTTGGCACGAGGACAAGACAACTTACACGCGTACTTAGGTCACGCGAACTTAATTTACATGAATAGCCACGTGACATAGGAACAACCCTTATATAAAGATTTAATTTAGAAGACTCAGGTGTCATCATTTTAATTCGGGCATCAGGTAAAGAACAAACGAATCCAATGTTTGGCGCGTGCTGGAAATTGATGCTTAAATATGTAGTATCAACAGAATTATAAAGAAAACTTTTGATCAATATATTTTGAAGTATTGACTGCAATCACTGTCACTTCTATTATCGACAAAAAATATAAAGAATGCTGTTTTCATGTATAGACATTTATCAATTTAAGATGAAAAGCCGAGATCATCTTCTAAAATTGCATTTCTCTCTCACACTCACAGTTGTATGGTGAAGCAATTATGAATTTTAATTGCCGCAGTTAATTACATGAAAATTCTTTAATTAGATACACAATATCTGAATATCAGAACCACCAATCGACCGCCAAACAATGAAGGCGTTAATGAAACAGATGAGATGCCACCTCGCAGTCGTAAAGCTGTTTCCGAAGGCAGTGACGGCGGATTTTTCAGAGAAAATACTCCAAAAGTTTAAAATTTTATTGAAAGAAGCTATTTTATAGATCAAAATAATATTTCGACAATTGTTTCAGAAAAATATTATTTAAGGGCAAACTTTGTTTAGGAGTTATCAAATTAATTGACAATGATTATTTTTGTGCCTAGTTGCTTGTTAAGTGATCCTCGAATACCTATTTTTTTGGATCAAGAGTTTTGGCTTAAGGAGGTATTCTGGTCCACCATTTCTAAAAAATCGAGAGTTTAATTTTTTTTTTTACAGAAAAACAATATTTTAACTTGTTCGCAGTTCATACGATTGCAACATATTAATGTAGATGGGCCCTAGTCAAAATTCAATTTTTTAGAATTACTCCATCACTTTCTATAAATTAAAAGTATTTTTATTTTTTATTTAGCTTGTAAAAAAATATAGTAAAAATTGTATTTACCTTTGTCACAGTCTTTCAAAAAACGTCAAAAATTCAAGCCTCTAGACCAGAATACGTCTTTAATACGTTCACTGCCAACCTTGTGTTGCCATTACTTTTCCTTGTGCTAAACTTCCTAAAAAAATTAATTTGAAAATTTGCTTTATTTGACTTAAATATATACATTGATTTTTACAAAAAGATACACATTGTATACACCTATTCTGGGAATATCATTATACTATCATAATATAATATTGTTTGCATATATATATTTGTTTCAATTAACTTATATAAGTATGAAAAGAGCTATTAAAAACATACTGCCATCAAAAACATACTCCCATCAAAAACATACTGCCATCAAAAACTAAACTTCCTTATTTGTTTAATATTAAATAAAATGTTTTCTGGACATAGCTAGAGATGATGAAAAGTACTAAAAAGAGAAATACCTAAATCTGTTTTTGTTTGGAATAATTATAGTACAAAATTTAAATTTAACCATTTTATTTTACTACACTAAAGTGCAAGGAAGGTGAGCGCACATGTTGCGCCTGGCTATTGAAAACGGTCTCACGCAACATATGCGTGCGCAACAGTAAATCAATAATAGAATTTATTAATATTAATATGTCCTACAGCGTTGCTAACTTTCAAATTAATCTTGAAG